GATGTGCTCTATTTATCAATATAGTCTTTACACCTAACTCAAGAGCCTGAAATAATCAATGCTTTTGAATAATGAATTCTTAAGGATCTTAATCTTAAGGATCTTTCAGGCTTAATAAAAGATGCAAAGATACTTAAATCTAGAAAGTTGCTGAATTTTTGCCCCTCCAGTATAATCATACTGTCTAAGTCATGTTCTTTAAGTGACTCAATGAAAAATACAAACAGTGAAAAAAATCCCCTTGAAAACTGAAGTGTCTCCATGTTTAATGAATTTTTTCTTATGGCAAGGCATACTCCCTCTGTTTTCCTTGTGGTCTTGAGAATTTCACTAAGTTCCTTTGGGTCTCAGTTTCCCCAAAGGAGACATTCTTCTAGAAACAGAAAAGATACCCAGCAGAAGTCAACTTAAAGAAACAGGACTTGAATTCTCTGTGCCTGCCTCAATTTTGGGAACTTATTTCCAAATCCAGTAATAAACAGCTTTCATTTCCAGGAAGTATCCCTTCTGAAATATCCCCTTCATCTGCCCTGTGATTCTTTGTACTCCTCTGTTTTACCTAAGAAAGATGGTAAACATATTTGCTATTCTTACCCCAAAATTAAAGTACCAACAAACCATATTTAAAAAACCAGCCCAGACTCCATACAGAAATGATACTTATTAATTCTTCAACGTGAAAAGACATGTCTTGACTATCTATACTATAGCACTAAAAATTCACATATGTTGTTAGTTGGTCAGTTCAACTAACTGCCAAAATCAGTGAACAAGAAAACAAAACAACTCAAAAAACCGATGAACAGATCAGATACTGATGCTTTCAGAATCACAAAAAGGAGTATATTCTGTGAGATTAGGCAAGTATTTTATACCAAAGAACTCTGAACCACTCTCTAACTTTCTGTTCAAAAGGTACAATGTAGAGACAAGGGTATCGATTTTCATGTGTACTGTATTTTTAAAAATTATATTACACTTAGCATCCCTAAGTCCCACTAGATGGAGAAGACTGGTACTTCCTACATCAGGAGATATTTTGAGCTATTATTCACTGGCCCTGCCTATCAATTAGTTAATTTCTCTTTCGGTAGCCTCCACGTCAAAGCAGTACTGTGTTAGTACTGGTGGTTATTAAAATTTTCCCATAAAGTAGGAATACAAATGAAACAAATGAAAAAACTAACATGAAAGCATGGACGCCAACTGAAGTTTCAAAAATAAAACACATCTTTTAGGGAATATACTGTAAGACATTCCCTCTATTTAGGTGTTACTACTGAATTTTATGTCCCCCTCAAATTCATATGCTGAAGCCCTAATCCTCAGTGGAGGCAAGGCCATTAGGAATATACTGCCATGTGAAGATACAGTGAAGAAGAGGTCAACTGCAAATTAGGCAAAGGGCCCTCACCAGGAACTGAGTCTGTAGATACCTTGATCTTGGCCTTGCCAGCCTTAAGAACTGTGAGAAACAAATATACGTTATTTAAGCCATTCAGGATGTGATATATGTTATAGTAGCCCAAACTAAGCCAACAGTTAAAACTTAGATATGAGATCCCTTTAGTAAGCAACTTACTAAAGCTCTTAAAATTTTCATGTAGTTATTGCTCACATGACTTTAATATCTACCAGACAATGTCTTGAGTCCAAAAATCATTCAGTTAAATGCCGACCTCATGCTCTGGCCTCCTTGCCTTCTCACTTCTTGCACGAGCTTCTGCATTTCTGCCCAAGCTACAAAGCACTTCTTTAAAAAGGACGATAGGGATGACGTATGCAGACCAACTCCTACTAAAATATCTCTTTCCTCACTTGTCAATTCCTTAGGATATTTCCCACAAGGGCTATTTGAAGTTTCTCACATTCCAGAAGATGGACAATCTATCAAATTCATACTAGTTTTTAGCAATAAAAGATTTCAGATATTATTTTCAACTTTTTTTTTACTCATTTCTATGTAAGTGAAATTCAGAAATGAAAGAACTACAGTTTTATAAACAGTAAGTCAACTATCCTGAAACTCCTTCCTCACCTCAGTTTATATATATTTACTGCATGGTGATCAATTCATTCTGGTCCAAGAGCAGATCTACAGAGAAGTCAAGGGCTGAGCCTGAAGAAACACTGCCTGGGTAATTCCAGCTTGGCTGATAACTATGTACATCTGGACAAACTGATTCTTTGTGCCTCAGTTTCTTCCTCTGTACCATGAGCACGGGTTTGTGTCACTGGCTAAATTACTACACACGAAAACAGGAGAACCTGGCCTAACGTGCAGTAAATGTTATGTAAGTCTTAGTTATGATAGTGTTATGATTCCCTATGGAACCTCTGGCAAAGGCGAAGATATTTGTCTTCTAAATTTATTTCTGTTGTCTTAATCCCATATTCTTTCCATATTTAAAGACTCAGGTGCCCCAATCTTCTATCTTTCAGTAGCTTCAAAAGAAACTATTCTACTCTTCTTCTTTCTTTTAGTGCCAAATTTTTAAAACGTCTTCTTTTATTTCTGAACATTCATCCCTTGGCTCTGCACTTTTCATTCCCTAAAATCTAATACATGTTCCTCAGTAAATGTTACCAAATGCCAGCTCTCCATATCTAGTTCTTAGTTCCTAATCTAACTCTAAACTTGAGCATTTTTTTGGTCTCATACTCAACTTTCCTCACATGTAAAATGATTTCTAAGGTATTTTCCAACTATAAAAACAGGATAATCAAACAAAACTTGGTATTTCTACTCATTTCAAAATCAGTTTTCTGCTACGACTTCACAATATTTCTACCGGTAACACTATAATTCTACCAGTAACCAAATTCCACCTAATCTTACTTCAGAATTTCTATCAACATTCATTAATTTGTACCCTATTACTTTTTTCTAGTGAATGTCCTCCCCATTCCATTGTTTTATCACTGTCATAATCTTCAAATATTCTGACACAACACTCACTTTAAAAACACCAAAAACTCTCCATTGTTTACTCCAAATTCCTTAGTCAAGCATTCAAATTTTTCTACAGTCTGTTCCATACCATCTTTGTAACCCTGTAATTCACTAACTCTAATTATTATATACCTCAATCAAACCCCATCTGCCACCTAAATGTAAACAATTCATTTCCATATAATCATATACTATCTGCTAGCCTAGTGTCTTCCACATTATTCATTTCTATCCCCTAGTATTTAAAGGCTCTCTTCAATTTATTTCATCCTTTCCCATGAAATCTTACCTCCCAGAGTAATCTCTCCATTTCAATCCCTAAGTTACTTATCACCAACTCATTTATGACTTAACTAAATAATGCTTCACACTGTTAAAATGTGCAGCATTTCTGACATAACAGTAAAAACAACCCCAGGAAGGGATAGTATAATATCTCTGCATCCACTATATTTTTATTTAACGCTGCACATAGCAGGCACGTAACAAAAGATTGTTGATTGTATGAAGAATACAATCACCTTGCTTCATGAAATACTATATTCCTTGGCTCATTTAATCCCCTTTGAGAGAAAGGAATTATAGAAGGAAGACTAAAAACAGAAAGTTGCTATTTTGCAACCACCACAGTAATAATGATTCATGCAAGAATCATCAATGAAAGCAAAAAATCATCACATGGAAGTTTCTGGGGGAACAGGATATTCATACAGTCTCAAAATAAAACTGAACAGATTACTTATGAATTACAAAGGGAAAAATGGTACCTTCACAGTGGAGAAATCTGGCGGACACCAAGTGATCAAAGTTAACATCACCAATAATGGGATAAACTGACATCATGTGCCTCCTGATGTGATGCACTGAGGACACAACATCACTTATGTATTATTCCTGCCAAAAATGCATAACCTGAAACTAGTCATGAGGAAACAATCAGACAAACCAAAAACTGAGGGACAATCTACAAAACAACTAACCTATACTCTTCAAAAATGTCAGTGGGCTGAATGACAAAGAAAGGCTGAAGACCTGAGTACAGTATATGATCCTGGATCGGATCCTGGATCAGAAAACAAATAGAGGCTATCACTACTACACAGGACAATTGGTGAAATTTGAGTATGAAACTGTGTAACAGTATGAAACCACCTAATTTTGATTATAGTTTTTTGGTTATATAAAAGAATGTCCATCTTAAAAAGAAGCTTTACCAGGTATTTTAGGATAAATAAAATCTAAAATTTATTCTCTACTTGTTCAACAAAAATAATATTGATAGTAACAGTAAATAACAATTACCAGTAGAAAGATTTGCAAAAATGTGTCATAATTAGTAACTGGTATATTTAGGTGAAAGGTACATAAGAGTTCAATGTACTATTCATGGAATTTTTTTAAAATAAAATTTAAAACATGAATACCCTAACACAAGAGCTGTGAATTAATTTACATTTTGACAATCTTAAAGCAGGACATTGTAGTAGTTATCTAATAAATAAATTTAATTTGCAGTTTGCTCTATACAAACACTTGTTCTTAAAAAATATACCTTTCTGAAATCACAGAACTATTTCATAAAGTTATCACACCACTACTTTATATTTTAAAATAGCATTGTTTACCACAGAAGTTAATGTGAATAAAGTCAGTTTCAATTAGTGAAAAGTCTTAGGGAATGTTTTTTATATAATACAGTTTCATTACTTTCAAAATACAGAAAAAGCTAAAGTGAGCTCATTAAAGCACTTTAAGAAAAGAATTATCTGTAATTAGTAAGCAGTTACTAATGACTGCTTCATTAATTGCCATCCATTACAGAATGTATTTAACACAGATCACGAACTTTATCTTCCTTCATCAGAAATTATGATTTAATTGATTCTACATTTTGAGTGAGGCTTTATAATACAGTCATGAATTACAGTAATTCCTATAGGCTTCCTATGGCCTTTAAAAAAATGCTTCTGGTCAAAATACAACACAATATATAAAGGATTTTCTACATTCGATATTGTATTAGCAACAGTCCTTTAAAGTTGGATACCTTATTTATGAGATGTTCAGTAACAACTTCTCTTAGTCCAGTGTAGAGCTTTTCTCCATGTTTATGTAAAACCATTGTATACGCATTTCTATAGAGCTCCTCAAAACTAAGACCACTGTTATTCTTACGCTGGATTTCTTGAATTGCATTTTTCAGAAGGTCCCAAATGCTGTTTACGTATTTTTCATCCATGGTCATCTGTAATATCCGAGAAAAGAGACAAGACAAAAAAAAAAAAAAAAAAAAAGGGTGAAAATTTTGGTATATTTATCCATATAGTAAATATTTTATTATGTGACTCATAAATCTGCATCATTTAAAAGGATGTTATCCTGTTTTAATAGAAGTAAAAAGACACATTCAAAAAGTTTGCAGAGCTTACAAATAACTTTTCTAATCTTTTTAAAACCTCTCTAGCTATAGAATGAACTCTCCACTTAAAATCTATTTGTATATCCATAAATCACTTAGCCCTCTCTCCTATCCCTCTGCCCCCTCCAAAACACTATATCCCAGCATCCCACCTACTCCTATGTAGTTGAAAATAAATGAATAAAATATTTGTATTTTATTCAGTTCAGTTTAAATTCATAACCACTAACCCAATATGCCCTTCCTAAAACCCTATGGTCTTGCTTTTCTAGTCTGATTCTACTTTCCTAAGTGAAATCACACCAGCTCCTGTGTCTTCTCGCTATGATTGCCGCTTCCTGTTCTACTGAAAAACCAAAAACTTGAAGAGGCACTGCACAAACCGGCCATCTTCCCTACAATGTGTGATTTTTATGCCAATGTAACGTTAGTGTGTGAGCTCAAAATGCCAAGATTTTGCACTCAGGGTCCAGCAGAGGGGACCAGAAACACAGGTATTATACAGGAACTTGATAGAAATGCAGAATTTCACGCCACATCTCAAAACTGCAAAAATGGAACTGCATTTAAATTGCAACCCTAAGTGATTACACACACCCGCGCGGAAGGAGAGAGGAGGAGGGGGAGAGAGAGGAAGTCTGACAAAGTATTTCCATCCCAAATCATCTACTCAAAGATATCTTTTTGGCAATCACTCTTCTCAGCATCATCAATAGTTTTCTTCTCTATCAAACGCTTTCCGGTGTATTCAAAATTGTCAGTTTCCCATCTTAAAAACTAACAAACACCTCTCTGTTGTACCAGTACCATCTGATTTCTTCTTTCAGTGAAATCAGAGGCAAAGAGTGAGAGAGAATTCTACCATTCTACCGTCACTGACTCTTAAATTCCATTTTCCCATTATGTCTTGAATCCTCTCCAATGAGGCTTTCACCTCTACCATTTTACTGGAACTAATTGAGAAAGGCACCAGTTATTTCTACATTGCTGAGTCTTATACTGCAGTCAAATGCTCATATCCCATTGTACTTGACCCATCCAGTAACATCAGACAGAGCTTATCACTCCTAGTCCTTGAAACAAATTGTTCACTTAGCTTCCAAGCATTGTTATCTCTTGTTTTTCTTCATATTGTACTGGTTCCTACTTGTCAGTCTGCTGTACTAGTTGTAATTCATCACCACAATCTCCTTTCTGAACGCTCAGGCTCTGGGGTCTTCTCCACCCACAGTTTCTAGATGGAGTTGATCTCACCTACTCTCATGACTAAGTCAATGTCAAAATTTATATATCCTGTTTGGCCCCCTCCCTTGCATATCAACCTCACATATTCAGCTACTTAATGTTTCTACCTGAATGTCTAGTAAGCACCTGCAATTTATCAAGTCTAAAACAAAAGTTCTACTCTTTCCCCCTGGGCCTGCTTCCTTTGCAGTTTTTCCCAACTGATGTGCACATCACCATTCCAGGTGCTAAGTTCAAAAAGCTTACTCTCTCACCTTGTTTCCAACCCCACAGGAAATTCTGTTGTCTCTTCAAAATATAACTGAATGCAACTCCTCACTACTTCCAATGTTACCACCATGGCCCAAACTACCATCACCTCTCATATTTATACTTATTCTTATTCTTGTTACTATTATTGTTCCTGGGCAGCCAGAGTAACCTGAAAACAAAAATCAAATCCTGTCACTCATCTGCTCACAACTCTCTTTTATTTCTCTTCAAGTTAAAACTTCTTACAAAGTCTTATTTAATCTGATAATCTTCAACTTCATCCTTTACCCCTGTTCACTCCATGCACACCAGCCTCCTTACTACCCTCTGGAACAATAAGCAAGCTTAGCTCAAGGTCTTTGTATTGGATTCTGTCTGGTACTTCCTTCTCTCAGGTACCTGGCACAGCTCAAATCTCCACTCAACTGTCAACTTCAAATAAAGTTTTAAATGTCCACCCTAAATGCCAAAAGTAGCCTTTTCAAGCCAACACTACTGACCTAAAACTCAGCACCATATTCTTCATTGCTTTTTTGGTCTCTTTTCCCTAATCCAAGTATCAGTTCCATGAAGGAAGGGCCTTTTTTCTTTTCTTTTTAAAAATTACTGGATTCCTCAGCCTCTAAAACAACACAATACCCATACAACATACAAGCATTCAAATACAATAAGAAGCAGTAACAAGCACTCACAGTTGCAGAATGAATGATTTTCTACTAGTATATGACTAAGGAACCCTTTTTATGTCACAAAATCTTGCAAGTTCTACATTTATAACCTGGTTAACGCTACCTGAAGCAGCAAAAATTACTGAGTTAGTGGAGTCCTTCCGAAGTCACATCTGAGGCAGACGGACATGAGATGAAGGAGTAAGCAATAGTTTCATTCACCCTAGTTCTAAAATACCAGCTTAACTCTAAATCAACAGGATTAAAGCAGATAACTCAAATTTAACTGTTCTAATCTTTTTCAGATAGTTGTTTTAAAAGGAATGTTTTAACAGAGCAATTTTCCTTTTACCCAAATTCTATTAAAATCCTAGGCCTACCAGACTTACAAAATGATTTTAGAAGAAACTACCAAACCTAAACTGCTCCCAAAAATTACCAAATATCCTAATACATACAATGTCATCCATATAAAATGTAAAGATGTGGTTATCTGTGTGGTTTTTCATAGAAGATGCAGCCCACATGACAATGGTCTCAAATACTCCATGTATGTGCCACATGGTTTTTAGTTTTGATCACAGTGTGTTTTATGGTTATAATAAAACAAAGACACTGATGGCATTAAATAATGAACCTATCAAGCAGAATATTCAGAAAAATTTCAACAAAAGAGTTGATGTGGACTAACAACTCCAGAGATACCTATATTGCTAATAGTTGAGCAAAATGTCAAATAATTATTTTAGGCTCTATGAAATTTAATATAAGCTGAAGAGTATAAAAATGTCTCTGCAATGTAAATTCCTGAAGTTTCTATTGGAAACTAAAATATAAGTCAAGAGGTTTCAAATGTTATAAAAGTACTCTCACATTATAAAACTACTATTTGTATAATTTACATAAATTAAGAGTTGTTTTACCATCCGAGACTGTATGTAATACTTTTCTCGAATCCTTACAAATAATGAAGCCACAGACAAGTACTGTATGCTTATTCTGGTAATTACTAAAAACATTTTCAAACAAAAATAGACCAAGAGATCAAAATCAGAGCTGGAATTAAAATTCAAATATTCCAAAATCCAAAACACTGGATTCACCTTACATTTCACTGTACTAATAGTACAATAAAGTAGTACAAGATTGTGAGTCACTGATTACCTGGGTAAAAACAATATGGTGTTAGTAGAGAATGTAGGTTTTGCTGTCAGGTCTGGATTTGTGTCATCACTTTATTATAAACCATATGACCCTGAGCAAGTGATTTAAATCCTTAGAACCTTGATCTCTTCACTTACTCCTGTATCCAACTACCTACTACATATGTCTCTAACCAAATGCTCCAGACACGATCAAACCCATCATGTACAAATTCCTTACCCAAACCTGTCTAAATCTTCTGCCTGTATTCTCCCATTCTGTCACAGTGACACAAACTGCCTAGAAACATAAGCCCTATTTTATAGTCTTTCCTTTGTCAAAAACCTTCGTGAGTGAGGGGTGCCTTAAGAGGAAACACACAGTTCATGATCTAGTTGCTATTTCTCACTGGATCTCCACTGCTATCACAGCCCCTCCCTCACACACCTCCCACTCAATGTTTTCTTTTTATCCCCTCTTCTGCAGTATCGTTATTTGATTAGTCACACATCTTCTGAACACAGCTCAGGTACTTTATCCTCCAGGAATTTTTCTCTTATCTCCTCAAATATTGTATTTATCACTACACTCCCATATTATTTCAAAATCATCAAGTCTGTGCATTTTCTTTCAGTGACCCATAAGGTTCTTAAGGGATTAATAATTTTTCTTTAATGTCATTTAGATGGCAGTAAACCAATGTCTGCTGATGAGTACTATTTTGCCATTTTATACCAAGGCAATTTTGAAAACATAAACACTGTAGCAATTAATCATTTTTTTAAAATAACCAAATGTCCTTTCCAAATAGAAATAAGGTAAAGTAAATGCAACAGATTCTCAAATTTCTTATCAGGCAGTACTTTCAAATTTTCCTATTTACCTTACACTAAAGGCCACAAAAGGCTACTTAATCATTAATTTTATAGATTAAAAAAAGGTTAACTGGGAAGAAAATAGTGGGCAGAATAGGCACTTCAGAAATCAATAAGCTCAACTTTTATTACCCTAGACAAACAACAGTGAAAACGATACCAAATGCAATAAGCTGCCAGTACAGATTCCTACATATTATATATATGATTTGTTCTCGGTATCAAACATGTCAACACTGGCAAAGTAACTGTTACTGATGAACATTATTTCTCATTCAAATATCCTGGATACAACATTAACTGACAATGAAATTCCTTTTTGATGTTCAACTCTTGTATCAATATATTAACCTTAAAAATATTAATCTATACACAGAAAATGATGAAATTTAAAGGTTCTAATTTAGGTAAAACATTTGAAAACAGCAATTACATTCTTTTAAACTAAATTAGTCTAAATTATTAAAGGATTTTAACCCCACTGATGAAACTGATTTCCTTAGGGTGCAGTAACTACAAAAACACTCCAGAAAAGATCTAGCAACCAAGTCTTCAGAAAAACAGTAAGATAACAAAATGCTATAAAAGATGCATGCTCACACACACACTCACTTTGAATATTTACTGTGTGCTATCTAATTAT